ATGTTGCAATTTTCATCGATAACTTTCAAAATTCGCTATAAAATTAATTTCTTGAAGGATCCTTGTGGAAATATCACCAATTATTAATTAAAGTATCATCTTTTTAATACAAAATCACTTTTAGTTCTTGAGAAATAAATTTTTGAAATAATCGACTACTTTATACTATTATTCTACAGTGTGTCCGTAAAGTAACGGATATAAGCGATAAAATCATTATAAACGGTTTATGGAAAAATCCCTGAAACGGGTCTAAAGATTTAAATGTGTGTGTAGATTTTAAATTTCTTCTGCCATTTTTAAGCGAGTTATGACGTCATCGGTATTTTTTTCGAATGGCAATCCCCCATTTTTTTTACGGAATATGAAAGAAAATTCTTTTCTGAATCTAATACAGTCAATATTAATATGGCTTACATAAGAAAATTTTCGAGAAAAATTACTTTAAAGTTTAACTACTTCAGATTTGTTGACATGATGAAAATAGCAGTAGCCATGAGTAACTATGGTAACCAATTATTTTAAACAATTTCCTAAGTGTCAAAAACTGATGTAATAAGTAGTTGACCTCTTGATCTCCAACTCATTAACCAAAGTATGGTGAACTAAATTTAAACAGCATGGCCATCTCTCGAAGTCTGGCCTACTAATGTTGCAAGGGAAGTTCAACAAATCGTGGTTTTGGCTGGGCAAGAAAATCCTCATGTTACTGAAAGGAGTATTGGGTCTAATTTCGACATTATTAAATCAAGGGTTCATACAATTCGAGTTTTCAATCGTAGTTTTTGCAACAACAATTTTGCAACGATGACGAAGACTTTGTCAAAAACATAATTTTTTCGACAAAGGGACATTTACATTGATTGGATAAGTAAATAGACAAAGTTGTTGGTATTGCGCTACCCAAAATCCTTCCATCCCGATAATGTTGACACAACTCAATTCCAACGGCAGTTATTTCAACAAGATGGCGCGCCACTACACTTCAAGAAGCTTTACTAAATCAGTTTTTGACACTCAGGGAATTGTTTAGAATTGGTTGCCATAGTTACTCATGGCTACCGCTATTTTTATCATTAACAAATTTGAAGTAATTAAACTTTAAAGTAATTTTTCGTTTATTAGGATTTTATCGCCTATATCCGTTACTTTACGGACACACTGTATAATTTTGCCGCACGAAACTAAAAAAAATATACAGGGTGTCCCGAAACTAAACTCCCTGTTCTGGTAAAAATAAGAAAAAATTCTATGTGTCTTAGTTAAATGATAATAGACATATTTTTGTGCTTATCACCTTGAACTCCATCTGTTATTGACTCACAAACTTAATGATGAACGACATTTTAAAATTCACAATCAATACATGACGTTTCTAATGTCTTTTCTTCCCCATCTATAATTAAACGGATTTTGAATCCCTTCATTAATTTTATTGAAAATTAAAAAATATTTTACTTAAAATTTATAAAGAAAGAACTTAACAATAATCGGAAATAACATTCCTAATATAAAAACAAATAAAACCGGTAAAAAATCAACTGAAAATCCCCTCCTTTTCGCAGTCATAATCGATGTTAATCGAATTTTAGCTTCAGAATACGGAGGATATCTCAAACAATTAAGCTTTTCCATTAAACCCCAATCGTTTTTGTTTAAAACTGATTTTTTATGCGTAAAAACATCAAAGGATCTTTTCCCGTGGTAATTTCCCATCCCGCTATTTCCAACTCCTCCGAATGGAAGATCTTCGCAAGCGATATGCATTAAAGTATCATTAACGGTAACACCTCCGCTTGAAGTCGAGTTTAAAATTAAATTAACAACTTTAGATTTTCTCGTGAAAATGTATAAAGCTTTCGGTTTTTCTTTGGAATTAACGAAATTTATCGCTTCTTTGATGTCTTTGATAACAACGATGGGTAATATTGGCCCCACAATTTCTTCTTGCATCACTTTATCGCTTGGATTAACATCCTTTAGGATTGTTAGGGAGATGTAAAGTTCGTCTCGGTCGGTTTCGCCACCATAAACAATTTTTGATTGATCGATTAATGAAATTAATGAAATTAATCGATCGAAATTGTTTTTGTTGATTAATCTGCATAAATCTTTAGATTTTTTTGGGTCATCGCCATAAAATTCCTTGATTATTTTTGGGACTAATTTTATGAAATTTTCTTGGACCTCTTTTGTACATAAAATATAATCTGGTGCTACACAACTTTGTCCTAAATTAACTAATTTTCCCCAAATTACTCTTCGTACGGTTAAATTAATATCAGCTGAATTATCGATTATAACCGGAGATTTTCCACTTAATTCTAACGTTGTTGGTGTTAAATTTTCAGCGGCCGCTTTATGAACGATTTTTCCCTCATCACTCGTTCCCGTAAAGAAAATATAATCAAAATTTTCTTTTAAAATTTCCTCACCTTTAAAAACTTGATAACTTTTATCATCTAAATACTTTGGAATTGTTTTAATTAAAAATTTTTCCACAGCCGGTGTTAACTCTGATGGTTTTAAAATGACACAATTTCCGGCTGCTATAGCACCAGCTAAAGGTAATAAAATCGATTGTAACGGATAATTCCAAGCACCTAAAATAAGCACCACACCATAAGGATCGTTGTGAATTTCGACGCGATCCATTAAATTTACTAAAGACTTTGAAACACTTTCAACTTTAGTATACGATTTAAAATTGTTTAACAAATTGTTTACGTCGCTAATCAAAAATGTTATTTCGGTTGTAAAAGTTTCTTGTTTTGGTTTGTTTAAATCTTCGATTAAAGCTTGAACCATTTCTTGACTCGTTTCCAAGTACATTTTTTTTAACCTTTTTAATTGATCTTTTCGGAATAATAAATTTTTTGTTTTACCAGAGTTAAAAGCTTTTCTGGATGTTTCCATTATTTTAGTTGCCCTTAATGTTTCGTTTGATTTATTATCATTTAAATCTTCTAAAAGATTACTTTCTTTTTCCATTTCTATTGAAATGGTGTTTTCTTGGAGCATGTTCGTTGTTAAATGTTTAGTATCGTTACTCTAAAGGTTATTTTTAACGTAATAAATTTGATTTGTTATAAATTTTTAATTGAGGTCAACTGGTTTTTAGTTTTAATTGAATATGATTACTTTACTCAGTTTAAAAGTAATCAATAACAAAGCGTTTAGCTGGGTAATTATACTTTATTGTTAATGGTGTTTTTATAAACATTTTTTTATTTTCCGACAATGTTTTGATTCCTCTATTATTGATTTTTCTTCCAACGTTCTTTGTTAGATTCTAACAATGCTACTTTGTCACTGTAATTAGATTGTAACTTTTACTTCTGCCAAGCTTATTTGTTTAACATCTTTGTGTTTTTTGGTGGGTTCTTTCGAACAAGTATACTTTCCAGAAACGATGTTCAGAAAAAGCATATTCCAAAAAAACTTTAGTTCTTCACAGTTTTGAGCAGAAAATAGCTTAAATTGAAGTCGTAGATATCCAGAAAGTTCGAATATGTGATGGATTCCAAAAATATAGATTAAGTTAATCTGAAACTACAAAAAATTTAAAAAAAAAAACAATATACTTTACCAAATTATAGGCAACCCACACCTCTTCTGGCAACACATACTTTCTTTATCTTTGTTGAGCTATATATACAGGGAGAGTATCCTAGTATCTTTTCTTTTAATTCTAAATATCAAGAAAGCTATTAAACTTAGACATATAACATACGTATCATTAATTAAAGGTAACTTGATAATCAATTCAACTAGGACACAATATACAGGGTGTTCCATTTAAAAAACTTAAAAAAAAGCTATTTGAAAAACATCAAAAGTAACTAAACTTTATAAACAGCCTGTATAGTGTATCTAATATCTTTGAATTTTTAGAAGAACAGTTAAATATCTCAGGAACTATGAACGCTGTGAAATAGTAACATATACGGTTGTATACACAAATTTAGTTGTATTCATAATATGATAAAATATACAGGGTGTTCCATTTAAAGAAATTTACGTATGGAACATACTGTATAAGTGAAAATAATTTTACGTAATAGAATAAAATATTTTTTTGTTTTTCAAACGGTTTAGTAACAATCGACCGCTGGGATACTATTAAATCACCCTGTATATTCTTGCGTGTTGTTGGCTAGGTTCTTTATTTGTTCTATAGTTTTCCTATTTCTGACTGATTCCTCTATGTTATCCTTTCAGGTATTACGAGGTCTTTCTATATGTCTTCTGCATTCTGTCCTCATCTCCATGACTTTCTTTGAGTTCTGTTCCTTACTTCTTTATCAGTGCCATATGTTTTCTACCCTTTCTATTGTCCTTCAATCGATTCATATCTCACCATTCTTTTCTATTTGAGTTTGTTCTTCCATATTTCTATGTTACCTTCTAATTAACGTTGGCTTTTGTCATGTGGAATTTTTGAAATGTATGTACCTTATCAAAAGCCGCCTTCAGGTCTAAGAATGCTAGGACAAGTTCTTGTCCATATTCAGTGTATTATCCATTATCGTTCAAATTGTGTATATGTGATTTTCTGTGCGTTCCATCTTTGGTTGTAAAGTTTTGTTAGCCAGGAGATAATTGTTGTTCCTCTCTTCTTGAGCATTTACTTCCTCTTTTGTTATAGGAGCCTATGTCAGTTCTTCCTCTATGTGTTTCCTCCTGATCTTTTTTTATGTTTTCCTCCTCAGTTTGCATTTGTTGTATTCTAGAATTGCTTCTGGTTGTCGTTGTAGTTTGCCTGCATGTTTAATCTCTTTTTGCTGCATTTCGTCTATCAATGTAGTTAGTTCTATACTCCAGTGTTCTATTTTCAACATATTTTTTCCTGGCTTCTTTCTTTTCTCTGACCTTTCTTTTTACGGCCTCATGCCACCGTATATTTTGAATACTTCCAATTTATTTATTTGACTTGTGTTCAATGTCCATTCTTTCACTTCATACAGAAGCACAGACCATATTCCTGGGATACTCTCCTTCTGATCGGAATGCTGTTATTGTTGAATTTGACGCAGTCTGATGCCATTAACGGTTTTCGATGCATCTAATGTCCATTGGTCTGTGTCCAGGATCTTGAGAAAGCTGTATCTCAACCGGATGCTGCTATAGTTCCCCAAAGTATAATACTGCCTTCACCTTGCTTTACGGTCGGTAGCAAATTTTTCAGCTCCAACGCCATGTTTCGTTTCTTCCAAATTTTTGCTGGATCATATTTTCCAAAAATGTTGTACTTCGATTCGTTAGTAAAAACAAAACTTTGGAGCAGAAATCTATTCCCGTGTCAACATGAAATTGAACAAACTCTAGTAGAAGACGATGATTCTTTTCTTTGGCTGACCTTAAAATGGGAATTTAAATTTTTTCATTAAAGAATTTGTGTTTTCATTAATCCTTTCCTAAAGTAATATCGTATATCCATTGCATCAATAACACTTACGAACCTCATTTATTTCTTCGCTCTAAAAATTTTTTAGGTGTCGGGGTTTGGTTGGGTTGGGCAGTTTCTGTAGTATCATATCTAACTTCCTCTATCACTCGCCTTATTTTAGGCCTCCGTTTATGTACTTCCTCTTGGTTTCAATGTCACCCACTTCTTAGTTCCATCCCTTCCTCGGTCTTCACCTCCTCCTCCTTCTATCCCATTCTATCTGCCATATCTATTCGAACAGGTTGTTTTCGCTCATTTTTACTAGGTGTCCAAACCATCTAAGTTGGCTCTTTTCTATTTTTGTTATTATTAGTTCCACCAAAGTTCTGTCCATTTTTCTCACACTCTCTATTCTTTTTAATGTCTTCATTTCCATAGCAGTAATCTTTGATGAAGTGGGTACAAAAACAACTTTATAAATTTAAACCTCTTTCTTATTTAGCAATACTCCTTTCCATGCATTAAATAATTTAGATCTTATAGAAGTATCCTAGTCTTTATATCTGCTATGACAGAACCACAAGGATAATCTAGCTTTGTGTAAAACCCCCTGCAAATGTTAGTAGATAAGAAACGAGAGTTCTGGACCGGAAATTAATCCCCTTATCCCCCTGTAACGTCACGCTCATATGTTATAAATATAGGGAAAGTGACCAACTTAAATCTGGGGGGGAAAGTAACTAGATTTAGGTTGGTACTAAACAGAGAGTGACAGCGCGGGAAATTTAAAATTCAAAAATGAAGACAGTCTGTTAACGTCCATTCCATGAGAGGGTTTTGTCTAGGATCTAGATCTAGGAATCTGTTCACTTTGGATAGTTGGGCGAATTAGTCCAACTATCCAAGATACGCTTGTATCTTCCATGGCATGGAGTCGAACGCTTTTCCAGGTCAATAGTATATAAGTATAGCTTTCCATTCTCATTTCTCACTCTATCCATAAATTTGCTGATGCTGAATATCCAGTAGTGCAGGCAGAAGCGTGGAGCTTCAATATTATAAGTATAGGGAAAGTAACCAACTTAAATCAGGGGGGAAAAAGTAACTAGATTTAGGTTGGTACTAAATAGGAATTGACACGGCGCGGGAATTTTAAAATTTAAAAATTTATGTGGAGCCATCGGCTTTGACTCTCGCAATCAGGTCATCAACCAGAAGCTCAGAATTTTGTGAAATAGTACATGAAAAATGTGATGTTGACAGAAATTTTCTTTTGAACGTTGTTTTCTCTGATTTCTACTTGAATGGTAAGGTTAATAGGCACAAATGTCGTTATTGGAGTGACGAAAATGCACGTTTAATAAGAGAAGGTCATACTCAAAGACCACAGAAAATTAATGTATGGGCTGGTATTATGGGAGAGATAGTAATTGGTCCATTTTTATTAATGGAAATTTGGACGGAGAGATTTTCTGTTAGAAAATCAAGTGGTTCCAAGTGTACGGTATGGCCTAATGGTATTGACAATAAGTGCTTCCAACAAGATGGTAGTTGGATTGGTAGTAGAGGTGACATTGAGTGGCCACCACAATCTTCTGAGCTAACACTACTCGATTTTTTCTTTTGGGGATTTCTGAAAAGTAGAGTGTATGCAACGAAACCAGAATCAATCAATGATTTGGGAAATCGCATACTTGAAGAACCACCAATATCACTTGGAATATGCTCCTGATGGTTCAAAATTCCATCTATGAGCGTTTGGGTTATTACGAGACCGAAGACAGTTAACAATTTCAGGCTTTTGGCTTATGGGGTTGTGTTTCTTTTTTCATTACCTTTAAAATAAGGTAAAACTATACAGGGGTTGCTATTTAAAAATGTAGGGGTGGTCATAAAAAAAAACCTTTTATGACTCTTTAGTGATCTTCACTCGTTCAAAACTTATAGCTCCGTCCCAGGAGTTTTGGGAAACCTTGTATACTTAGGCTTGCCTTAGGCCTCTTCTCGCAAGCGATTCCCAAATTTTCTTCCATTGTATGGTGTCGAACGCTTTTTCCTGGTCAATAGTACATAAGTATAGCTTCTCATTGTTACGTCCCACTCTATCCATAAATTGTCTGGTGCTGAATATCCAGATCACCCAATTAGCTTGGGTGTCTTGTAGTGAACCTCAATTTCTTTTCTTAATATTTTTTCGGTTATCATTTTTATCGTTTTCTTTAATTCTTTCAGTTCTATATCTGGCAGCGTTACATTTTTTTATTAA